AGGTGATACATTGTAGGTAATGGTATATTTGGAGAGAAGTGAGAGAAGACATTTGTCAAGTAAGAAAGACGAGTCAGTCAAAGGAAGTGGATTCTGAAGCCTATGGTGTGTGGAATGTTAAATGGCCCATATTCCACCATTTTCTGTGTTATAATCAGTGTTGGGAAGGTTACTTTTAGAATGTAATCCCCTACAGATTACATATTACACACCCCAAAATGTAATTTGTAACGTAATCCATTAAATTACTTAAAGTGAGTAACGTAATCTGATTACTTTGGATTACTTGATATTGTCATGTTTTTTTAAACGACATGAATGTAGCAACCACATCCTCAAAATTCGTGTTTGTTGTCTTCAAATTGTCTGAGCCCAAGTCTCCATGAATAAGCAACTGTTTGCTGTTGAGAAACAAAGACCACGAGATCTTAATATAAGAGGTTTTGTCTGTTAAAAGACAGTAACAAGATAAGACTTTCCTTCACCATATTGAAAAATATTATTGATAGGGAAATTATATGAGATCACCTTAAATTATGTCAATCTACTGTTAGGTGTCCTGGTTTAGTCCTGATTTTTAGACCTGGTCTAGACCAGGTCTTTAGTTCTGGTTTAGTCGTGGTTTAGTCCTAGTTTAAACCTGGTTCAGTCCTGCTTTAGTCCTGGTTTAGTCCTGGTGTTAGTCCTGGTTTAGTCCTGGTGTTAGTTCTGGTTTAGAGGCGCACAGGAGGAAGTGCGGTTTACGCGAGAAAACACGTTCCACACGCGGCGCACGAGACGGCGGTGTCCGCGCTGTAACTACGGAAGGAGACGTGGTCCGCGGGTTCTCAGGTTGATGACGATGATGAAGGTGTGTGTTTGTGTGTGTTTGTGTGTGTTTGTGTGTGTTTGTGTGCACGTCCACTCATGTGGCAGGTCACTATAGGACAGTAGTGCAGATATTATGAGTCTATGCAGGTTGTTTTCACCAGTGCCAGTAGCTCCGGTTTCACATTTAAGTTGTAGGCGATTTTATATTTGTTTTATATATATATAATATCTCACATCGGGAGAAGAATTTCCAAGACACAAATGCGTTTTTGCCAATGCACTGCTGCTTCCACTGTGTGACTGACACCGCCAACTTTAACATGACGTTTCCATCGCTCTTATTGCGCGCGTTCTGTTTGGGCTTCAGGCAATGAGTGAAATTACCGAAATAAAAAAAATAAATAAATGGGATGTAGCACAAAATGTGAAAACAGGAAAATACCGCCTTGTAATCCACTTATTTCAGCAAAGTAACTGTAATCCAATTACCACTCATTGAAACAGTAACTGTAACGGAATACAGTTACTCATAATTTGTACTCTGATTACGTAACGGCGGTACATGTAATCCGTTACTCCCCAACACTGGTTATAATGTTGTTTTCTCGTCAAAAACAAACCTGGAATTATGTTTTGTTTTATTCACACATGTTTAACGCACAAATCCTGCGTATTTAGGCTGAATTCTTCTTTCAAATTAAAAACCTTTTGCTGTGTGTGGTGATACAGAAAGTGCTCCACTGTGTTTTTAAATTTCACACACCTTCACCAGAATCATTTGCATAATTTCAGCCATGGAATTGCCAATCTCGACTGAACAAAAGGTAAAAAAGTAGCAGTTAACTTGAAAACTACCACTTCATGACATCACAAGTTGGAACAGAGCATTTTGAGCTTTGGAGATGTAAACGGACTAATAATAAAGGATTACTGAAACTTGTGTGAATGAAATTGTTAGTATAAACTACAGCTTAAAAAGAAATTATTACTACTACTACTCTTACTATTACTACTACTACGACTACTTCTACGTCTACCATCACTACTACCACTACTACTTCTACAAGTACCACTACCACTACTACTAGTACCACTACTACTACGACTACTACTACTACTACTACTACTACTACTACTACTACTACTACTACTACTACTACTACTACTACTACTACTACTACTACTACTACTACTACTACTACTACTACTACTACTACTACTTACTACTACTGCTACTTCTACTGCTGCTACTACTACTACTACTGCTACTATTACTATTACTACTACTTCTATCACAAGTATTACTACTACTGCCACTACCACTACTACTACTTCTACCACTACGACTACTACTACTACTACTACTACTACTACTACTATTTCTACTATTTCTACCATTTCTACCACCACTACTACCACTACTACTACCACTACTTCTAATATTACTACTCCTGCTACTTCTACTACTTTGAATTACTTTGTGTACAAATTGTGCTATAGAAATAAACTTGCCTTGCCTACTACTACTACCATTACTACTACTACTACTACTGCTTCAACTACTACTACTACATCTATGTTTACATCTACAGCATACTTTAACATCTCTACAATATAATGTACTGCAATTTTAACAGCTACTTCTTATGTTATTATTCTTATCACTATTACAAGTACATCTGTAACTGATCCAACTTTTCAACTAAACACCACAGAGGTTACAAAACACTGATTCAGAGATTGCAAAACTTCAACTGTTACTGCAACTGTTGCCTGGTTGGTTACATGCCCAAGTCACATCTCCCTTGTCTACAACCCCTTCCTACTCTCAATCTGTCTCTAAATAAAGAAAAATAGGTTATGACAGTTGTTATAGTCGTTAATAATTTAAAGCAGAACTCCTATAACATATTTGTGCCTGCGCTGTGACCGTCCGTGTGAGTGGTACATTAAAAGTTTGTGCAGTTTTAATGAGGAAAATAGAGACAAATTGTTTAAGGATGCAGAGCGAGGGGGAGCTTCCTGACCCGGATCCTGCTCATTCACAAAAACACAGCCAGAGTTAATTAAAGTGACCTCCTCCTGTTAGTGGTTCTGATAAAAGTTTATTCACTGCACAAACGATGGAAAACTCATATAAAAACACAGCACAATGGCATCAAAAATTTTGCTTTTGTAACTTTTTATTTTGTTGCGTAATATTTCTTCATAGTAACAATATTTTCCGCCACACCTGCTATGTAACTTTTTCATAAGCTACATAACTTTGCAAAAATCTGAGTGCAATTGCAGTGTCAGGTTTTGTCCACCAGATGGAGCCATATCTCTTTGGCACACCTCATGAAATTGAAACCGCTTTTTTTTATCTTTGGAATTTTTACCACATGATAAAGACTTGTGAGGGTCCTATTTTGAATATGATTTTTTTTGTATGTTTTAAAATATAAAATAATAAATAAAAAAAAAATACAATGTTTAAATCTTCAAATTAAATCTAAAATGTTTTAATTATAATATGGAGAATTTTTTTGAGTTAAACAAGTATGTCTCATCCTAAATGCATGGTTGGGTTTGATGGAATTTTTTTGTATTTTTGTTACTAAAAACCGAATTTCTCCATATTTTTTTTCACCTATTTGTATTTTTTTATTTATTTATTTATTTATTTTCTAATATTTTCTCCATCTTATAAAGGATTAAAAAGCTGCATTAGTAACATAACACACAGAAATACTACACCATTTTGTATTCATACTTAATAACAATACTTTAAATTACAACTTTGCAGTACCTCTACTTCAACATTAATTTGTGCTTATAGCCCCATAAACATACACTAATTGCAGTAAGATCCACAGTATAGTTTGAAGTTTTATACCAACACTTACGTAATGCACAATAGAAAAGACAGCGTTATCCACAGAGGAAACTTGGTTGTAAAACTCCGTTGTAAAAGTAGTTTACAGTGACCTCACCGGCCCCATAAATAACTCAAGGCTTGTGTCATTGAACTGGAAATGCATCAACTGCCACCTCCTGTTAACTGACAACTGTGGAGTTTCACCGGGCTATTCTCTCTATGTAAACAACGCAAGATTTATGAAACAATAATTTAAGCCCCACTTCATTCTTGTATAGGCCTATTATATGCTTTGTTTGTGGATTTGCAGCTACTGTTATATGCAACATTTTGCTGACTTTAATTTCCAATTTTCTATATGACACTATTTTCTGATCTAAGTTATAAAGTTGTTTACTTGTCAAAAACTTACCCGGAGTTGTGTTTTGTTGCATTCACACATTTTTAACACATAAATCCTGCATATTTAGGTTCGTCTGTCAATCAGAAAACGCTCTGTTCCACCTTGTGATGTCATGTGGTAATACGAGAAGTGCTCCACTGTGTTTTTAAACTCCATACACCTTCACTAGAATCATTTGGATGATTTGAGCCGTGGAATTGCCAATCTCTACTAAACAAAAAGGTAAACGGTAGCTGTTAAGTTGAAAACTACCACTAGATGACATCACAAAGTGGAACAGAGCATTTTGAGCTTTGGAGATGTAGACAAACAAATAATAAAGGATTACTCAAACATGTCTGAATGATTCAAAACACAACTCCATGTATGATTTTGGTGCGGTAACAACTTTATAACATGACTTAAAGCTCAGAAGAGTCAATTTTGCGTAATATAGGACCTTTTAAATTGTTAACTGCTATGGCAACTGTTCTAATGTTTCATCTTTTTGGATATCTTTTATATTTTTGGAAGATTTGGAGATGTTTTTGTAGTCAATTGTAACGTGTAACTTCTACCTGTACCGTACTGGTTTTGTGAATTGTAATAATATCTTACTTTCACTTCATTTTAAATTGGCTCAGCTTTATCTAATGATCGTGATAAACTGCTATTGCTTAACAAAAACAAAGTTACATAACGCGCGCGGCAGTCCCTTTGACAAAAGCAATGCCCAAAGTTTTCTACTTAATGAAACGTCTGCTCCTTTAACTGCGCCTCGCCTCTGAATTCCTCTTTTGCTTGTCGTTAGAATTGATCAGGCTTGCGCTCGCCTTGTGAATGGGAGCTCTCGTGTAACCATGGAATGAATGCTTGTGTGCGCGCGCGTGTATGTGTGTGTGTGTGTGTGTGTACGCGCGTGCTCGTGCTTGAGTGCACCGGATGCGAGATATCCGCTGTAACAACAAGCGCTCTGTTCCCCCTGCCGCCCTGACGCCATTTACGCAGCCCAAATCCCGACCTCCCTCTCCGGAAAGCGAAAAAAAAAACACACACGCGAACGCACACACACGAGAAAAGTACTTGCAACTTCTGTGCGTAGCGCGGATAAACCTTATGAAATCTTTCTACGCGATCTTTTTAAGCAACTTTTACAACTTCTCGGACGCGCAAACTGGCCTGAGACGTGCGCGTAATCGTTGATAGTAGCTTAGGTTTTCGCCTCGTGCTCTTCTTCTCACGCAAAGGATTAAACGTTGCAGTCTTTGGATGAAAACTTCACCACGTAACTTTTTGCTAAATGGATTTTAACAGACGGCTTTCCTGAGTGACTTCCCACGCGGTGCAGGAGGAAAAACGTGTTGACCAAAGTGGATTATTTTCACGTGAAACGGAGGACAAAGTGTCGAAAAATACGGTTAGTGCAACATTTACCGTAACATTAAGTCGCGTCGTTATGTATAGAGTGAATAAACGAGTTGCTTCATGCGTAAAAGTGGTTTAAAGCGAAAATCTGTGCAAAGTTTTCTTCACGTTTGGGGGTTTAGCCTGGCTTGCGCTCCCCAGTTTGCTGGAGGCCTATAGGTACCGTGATTTGTTAACGAAATGGGATAAAATTCAACTTTTAGTACAGGTTTTACGCACCAGGTCTATGCATTCTAGCGTTAGTGTTAAAAGTGTTTTACAAGCATGCATTTATTTCATGGTAAATTTATAGCTCAGATTTAGTGCGCAGTGCGTGCATGGATTTCCTAATTGCACATTTAAACGCATATACATATATACTGTAAAATAATGGCTTTTTTAGTTTAGTTTTTTGCACACTAAGGAACACCCTCAACCCTCCCTATCTGCTCTGAGGACATACCATGCCCCACCTTGCTGTTTAAACGTGCCAAAGAGATCATAAATAATTGTGCAGATCCACACAGAACCTGGTGTTGGTCCCCCAGCCCCTGAACGCATCTCCACTTACTCCCAACACGGAGCCCCCTGAATGCACCACTCTCTCTCCCTCTCTTTCTGTGCACCCTGTCACTCATCTTCTTTTGTACCGGGCTAAAGTGTGTTGGAATGGGGGGCTGGTTGTTGCGGGCCATTTGTCATGCGGTGCACAAAAGCTCTTCCTGTATTGTCATTGAAAGGGGGATAGTGGGGATCGCACCCCCAACCCGCCGAGATGCCATTTGAAAGCTAATTAGCCTGAGGAAGCAAAACCAAGGCCAAGTGACAGTTAACGTAAATAATATGACCACTGCCAGATATGATGGTCAGATATCTGAGTGTTATTACAAATGACAATGTATGTTTAATTAGTCTGAATGGCCCGTGTGATTTATGACTTGCACTTAAGTACACTTCCTGAGCTAAAATTAACCTTTGAACATGAGCGGACACGCTTCGAAGAATTGAAATATTGATTTAAAGTTAAGTAGAAGGCTTTCCTGTTTTAAATGTGCACATGGTGAATCCTGCACAACAAGAGCCAAACACAAGTGAATCATTTTAACTGTAATGACCAGTGACTGTGTTTGTACTCACATTTGAGTCAGTTTGTGTGTACTTCTGGTCCTGTCTGCGTGTCGAATACTCCCGCGGTCCGTTATGATTTGCATGGATGATTTGCATGAGTTCCCTGTTCTCTGTATAAAGTCTATAAACTCTGTGTTTGCAGGACTTCAGATGTGTCCCATGCCAGCCACAGAGGCCTTTCACTCCCAACATGGATCCCAGCAGAGTGAGCCAGAGCGACGGGGGAGGAGGCCCCTCTCCAGGCCCCTCTCCAGGCCTCTCTCCAGACCTCTCTCCAGGGCAGTCATCTGTGAGCGATGCTGGTGACCCAGGCACAGCCCACCCTTTCCCCCCCGACCCCCGGGAGCAGCCGGTTCTGTCTCTGGACCAGATCAGAGTCACACGCAGCAGTAATGAGTACACTGATGGACCGACTGCACCAGCGCCCAGGCCAACGGAGAGCCCAGAGGAGAGACATCATAACCTGCGGAACCTGCAGTCGTCTCACTCGTCCGGCTTGGAGGAGCCCCACAGCCCCAGGAGCAGTGGGAGCAGTCCCTCCTCTGGACAGAGGCTGCTGGGACAGTCTGGATCAGAGATCATCCGCGTGCAGCCCAAACGGGAGCAGAGCCCAGAGGAGCTGAAGCCTCTGACAGACACCAGGACAGTGCAGGCTGTGCCAGGCAGCGGCACGCACAGACCTCTGCACAAACCCTGGGACCGCTGTGAGGAGTGCTGCCGCTGCCGTTGTCCCGAATGCGTTCGCCCGCGGGTGCTGCCGTCGTGCTGGATGTGTGGGCACAGGTGTGTGTGCTCGGCTCACAATGTGGTGGAGTATGGGACGTGTGTGTGCTGTGTGAAAGGGCTGTTTTATCACTGCTCCAGTGACGATGAGGATACATGTGCGGACAAACCCTTCTCGTGCTCCCAGCCTCACTGCTGTGTGCGCTGGAGCGCTGTGTCCCTGCTGGCTCTGTTCTTCCCCTGTCTGCTGTGTTACCTGCCAGCCCGCACCTGCCTCAACGCCTGTCAGAGCTGCTACGACAGGGCCACCCGCCCAGGCTGCCGCTGCAAAGACTCTCACCTCCGTGCACGGGACATACCCACGTAGACTTAGATCTAGACCTAAGCTAATCTGTTTTCACCTGAACACCTCACACAGGGCTGACACCGCAGTGGTGCCTTCACTGACCAGAGCAGCACTGGTGAAATAAGCGCTCCATGTTCTACTGTTTTATTCTGAAATGCTTTGTTAACCCAGCTCCATACGTGTGTGTGTGAGAGCGTCCCATGTGTTTTAATCTATAACAGGGGCTGTTACTAACTGTTAGTACATGCAGAGGCTGTGCACATTAGAGTCTGACAGAGGTTTTATTTTTATACATGGAATACATATAATACTTCAACTGTGAACCTTTCTGCCACACAGAGGCATCTTGAGAGATCCATGTCTATTTGAATCAGTAAAGTTTGACCATGTTTTACATTCACTGGAATGTACCAATCATTATATAAGTTACAAATGAACAGCCCTTTGACTTGTAAATTGTACAGCGACCTTTTATGAAATTTTATTTTCTAATTCCAACATTGCTTAGTGTAAAGTAAAAAGTCTATATTTATTTGAAGGTTTATTATTTTATAATGAAGATATTTATTTTGAAAAGCCTTGTTTCTGTAGTGGCTGCAGATGGAGATTTAGAGGACCAATATATTAACGTTTGAAATTAAACCCTAAAGTCTGACTGTGCCCCTGTGTGTTGTGCTTTTGTCTCCGTGGTAACCACTTCCTCTCTCATTGTTCACATCTCTGCCTTTTTAATTGAGCCTCGGCACGGCATCTCCTGTAGCCTGTCATCAAGTGTGCAATCTCTGTCCCAGCCACATTCAAGATGGCTCCAGCGTGTTTACAAAGTACAAACAAGGAAGCTTCACTGTGCACGGGGCCCCTGTACCGTGCACGGGGCCCTGCAGCCACAACATCTGGCCGTGCTCGTGTGTGGAGGAATGCCCTGGTGTGCACATCTGTTTGTGAGAAGCCCCAAATGCTCCGCTTTCCCACAGGAACTATTTTGGTTTCATCTATTACTTTGTGTATCATTTAAAACCCACTCGCTTCCTGTCTTCATCTTAATGCAGCCCTCCCATTAGTCTGGTTTTATTCTCCGCCGTGTTATTTTTCCGTTTCTTCAAAGCGAGGTTGAGAAATTCCTGCGTTTTGAATGTCCCGGAGGCGAAACATCAGCCTTTGACACTTGTTGACAGAATATGGACGTGTTTGCAGCTCGGTATGCATTCAGCTGCTGTGATTGACAGGCAGAGGCCCAACCTGCTCACACTTGTGTTCTCACTCTCTTCCCCTCTTCTCCTCCTTTATGTATACCCCCTTAGCTTTATATAATTATCCACTTTCACTCTGCACAAGTCTAGGTACAGGCGAGGTTATTTTTAAGTCATGAGCATTGCAAAACTAGAAATGCATTGAAAGCTTGTGTACAAATGAGCCTGTGTCGTCTTGCAAAAACCTCCATTGACTTGAATTGGCTCTTAATTGACATTGACATCATCTAAAAAAAATATACATATAGTTTAGCATTTTTGAGTTATGAACACCACAAAATTAGAAATAGTTGCGTTATCGTACAATGGGCGATTTTGCTATAAACAACTTGGAAAAAAGTTTAGCTTTTTGTTTTCGTTGACCCTTGAAATGACTCTTGAAATTATCTTTTGAAATTGTGGTTATATTTTTCAGATAGACAAACTAAATGCATATTTATATGTTTATGTGGGTTGGGTTATTTTTGAGTTAAGAACCTCAAAACTAGAAACACATGCAGCTCTCACCTCTGCATATACCTCTTAGCTTTAAATAATTATCTATTTTCACTGTGCACAAGTCTTGGTGACTTAGGTGAGGTTATTTTTTAAATTATGAGCATTGCGAAACTAAAAATGCAATGAAAGCTTGTGTACAAATGTGGTTGGGTTATCTTGCAGTGGTCATTTGGTATTTGGTTTGGAAAAACCTTTGCTTTTTTCTTGCAAAGGTGATTTTGAGTAATACCTTGAAATTATTAAAATCTTGGTGTAAAGATAGTGTTATGAACAAATGTGGTTGTGTTATCTTGAATTTGGTAGAACTTTTGCTTTCTGTTGACCTTCAAATTCCCTCGTAAACAATTCCTTAAAAATTATCTTTTAAAATGTGGTTTAAAAAAAAAAAAAAGTATAGTTTTGCATGTCTATGTAAAAAAAATAGAATGTATAATGGTGATTTTTAAGTTATGAACAAATGCGTCGAAAGTTATACTATACACACTTGAAGAAACCTTTGCTTTTTGCTTTCCGTTGACCTATAAATTGGTTCATAAGCAATATCTTGATATTATCTTTTAAAACATGTGGTTATCTTTCTCATGAGAATAATTTTGGTAAATAAAGCAAGCAAAAGGTTATTTTTGCGTTATGAACATATGAAAAGCTCTCCCCTTTGCATATTCCCCTCATAGCTTTACATAATTATCTGTTTTCACTGTGCATAAGTCAAAGATAAAGCCGGGTTGTGTTTAAGTTATCAACATCACAAAACTAGAAATACACTGAGAGCACGTACAAATGTGGTTGTGTTATCTTGCAATGGTGATTTGGTAACAACTCGGAAAAACCTTTGCTTTTTTCTTTCCGTTGACGTATATGAATTGGGTCTTAAGCAATATGTTGAAATTATCTTTACACAAAAATAGTTCTGCATTTCTGTGTAATATAGTGCAGGTTAAGGTTATATAAAGTTATTTTTGAGTTATGAACATATCAACACTAGAAATGCATGGAAATCCAGTCTACATGTTCTGTTGTGTTATTTTGAGGTGGTGAATTTGGTACAGAAAAACTTTATGCTTTTTTTTTTTCCATTGACCTGTGAATTGGCTCTTAAGCAATACCTTCAAATTATCTGGCTACAAAAATAGTTTTGCATTTTCTTTTTCACCTGCTTTTTCAGGTCCGATACCAGTGTCAATACTTTGGCTTTACATAGTATCTGACAATATTTGACATCAACCAATACCAGGGCAGAGAGTCTGTGTTTAAAGGAAATTAATAATATCTTCAAATAATGTATGGCAAAACTTTTACAAATGTGTTTTGTGACAGTTCTGTCATTTCAAGTAACAAAACAACTCCGTAAGAATAAGTTTAATCAATGTGAGATGGTCTAGGTCAGACATGTCAAACTCCCCGTAATATAATTATATTTCCGTGAGATTATATCAAATATGTATTAGAGCTGCCCACCGGCTACAGATATCCTATAGACATTATTTATTTTAAATTGTGTTATTATTTTATATTATGCTTGTTCTGGATTCAAAGTGTAAGCCAAACTATTATTAAACAATTATTTTAATAAGGAAAGGTTAAACATTACATATCTTTTGTTGTTGTTGAAATTTTTTCTATAAATATTTAGTTTGGCCCAAGACTTGGTCCCAGTTTTTAATTTTGGCCTTCTGTGAATTTGAGTTTGACACCCTGTTCTAGGTCAATACTGATCACTACTTCATCTTATAACACCAATTTATAGAACAGAAGGAACTTATATCCGAACAAGGAATTTTTGTTTGTATCGGTGCGTCAGTGCATCTCTAGCACAAAAACAAAAACAAAACTTAGTAATTAGTTTTAGTTTAAAATTTTGATGCTGTTTTTGCACCCAAGAGAATTACAAAAGTGAATTATTTTTATTTTAGTCGATGGACATGGTCATTGGTAAACAATCAACTTTTCAAATTATTATGATTTTCTTTTTTTTTATATAGTAATATGTTCTTAAACTTGATTTACCTTAAACCGTAAAAAGACTTACACTTTATTGATCCACAAAGGAAATGACTTGGACACAGTCACACTCATGCATCACAATATATTATAACACAATAACAAAGAGCAACAATTTGAATGGTGATAATAAATTCTAAATGAGTACAGAAAATCGCAGTCGAACAGTGTCCAATAAGGCATAATTACATAAATGTATATGTACAAGTAAAAATAAAATATAGGACTATAGCAGTATAAATATACAAGAGGCCGAGCTGCAACTTTTTGTCAAAACTTCAGCCGTGTTTTACATTTACTAACACTAAAAACTCCATCGGTCTAAATTTAAAGGTGCACTATGTAACTTTTTAGTTTTTTTATCCCTCACAGTATGACATTAAACAGCTCTACTTTACATTTATTCAATTACAGACGGTTGTATACGACGCAGTAAGTGGAGGAAAGCATGTGACGGTCCCTCCACCAGAAAAGTTACACAACGCACCTTTAATTTTCTTGTTTATCTTTGCACTTGTGCACTTTGCTTTCATTATGTCCAATGTGGGTAGAGCCTGGCCTGTATACACTCTGTTTTTTTTTTTTTTTTTTTTTTGGGGGGGGGGGCTGTTCGGAAGAGTCACTTTAAATAACAAAAGCTGAACATTTTAGGCTGGCATTGAGCGCGCTGTGCATTCATCCTGTCATGAAAGGGCTTATTTTGGCCCTATACCTGCTCCTGCTTGGTATTCCCAGAGACGAGAGAGGGGAGGTGGGGCGAGGAGGGAAGGAGGGAGGGGTCAGGGGGTCTCTCTTCTTTTTTCTTTTTTGATACTTTACTGTGTCAAAAAATATGCACATAAATATTCTTAGTTGACGCGTTGTACAGTATACACAATATTTATTTTTTTCCCCCTATTTCAACCCTTTTTTTCCTCCACCCTCATCTTAAAGCTGCACTGTGTAACATTTCATTCTGTGGGGTCGCTACCATGGAGATGTATCTCTGTTGCCTGCAATGTTCCACAATATGGTATTAAACTTTTATAAACTGCCTTTCTTCAGTTACGGGTGTTTTTATTGCTCAAAACAATCATTCATGCCGTGAGTGGGGTCATGTCTTCACACATCTCACCTGTAAATTGTTTCTTGCTTGTTTCTATGGAGATTGAAAAGTTTAATGCCGTACTTTGGGATATTGGAGGTAAAGCAATAACATGACTATTGAGCCCACTGCTAGAAAAGTTACACAGTGCACCTTTAAGACAAACAGCTGAACAAAAAAGTATAGTAAAAATAAATAAACAAAGAAAACAAATAAAATAAATAATAATAGTAACTAATAAAATAAAATAAAAGGGGGAGGGTCTGATGCTGGGGACAAGAGGCTTCCTTTTGGCCCACGGAGGAATGATATTTGTGGACAGGGAGCTTGGCAGGAAGAGCTGTGTTAGGTAATAGTACACAAGCTCACTGCAGAATACAAAGTGAAAAAGCAGGCTTAGTAACCTTGATGTATTTGCAGTGTTTTTTTCTATAAAGGAGGCAGGAAAGTACTATAATAAAAGTACAATTACATTTTAACTGTAATTGCAAAATAATTTAGTTAAAGTTGCATTGTGTGTGTCGGTATTATGCTTTTCTTCATGGAGATGTTTTGTCTGGAATGCTTCACAGTATGGCATTAAACCTTTCTATCTCCATGGAGACCAAACCAGACCAAGTTACAGGTCGGATCTGTGGAAAGGTGATCCCACTCACAGTCAGAATGTCTGTTTTTCTAGGTATTTTTGAGCTATAAAACCACCTGTGATTGAATAAATGTAAAGTTATACTGCGGAACATGCCAGGCAGAGCAAAGACATATCCATAGAAACAAGCATTGCACCTTTAAGAGAATGAAAAACAGGACTTTGCTCAAATGCAT